CAATGTGTGGATTATCGAGATGTGGGCCAATAGGAGTGCATCCGTATTACAGTTCATTCAGTTTGGTTACGGTTTTGGTACAGTTGTATCGCCCCTTATATTACGCCCCTATTTGAAAGGTGATGCCAAAGGTGGACAGGGATTACACTCTGTGGCCACAAATGAGTCAATCACATCGCTTAACACCACTAATACTTACGACAACAGTGATCGAGTGGGCGATCTCTGGCAGCCTTTCCTTATGATTGGTGCCATTCAACTGATATGTGAGTCCTTTATATCGATATAACATATAATATATCACAACAACGTATATTATTTTATCTTTATTATAATCATTACTAGAGTAGCAAAAAAATCGGCTTAATTGTTGCGCGGAACCAGTTTTAATTGCGTTAACAAGTTTAGTTTTCGTTTGATATGTTTTTCCAATAACTTATTATAATTATCAGAGAAATGGACGGAAAGTATACAAAGTATTTGAAATCAATGAAAAGAGAATTTGGCTTAAAAGCAGGCAAAAGGGGATTTGAACTCCGGGTCTCAGCAATTAGTTTTCGGTTTTAATTGAAAAATATATAGAAATTATAGTTTTAGTAAATAAAATCTAAATCATTAAAGCAGTCATATGTAATGTAGATAAAAGTTGTTCAATATACTGAATCTTTTAAATCCAATTTAACAATAAAATTTAAAAATTCTTTATAATATTTATGGTAATATTTTGCAACTTTAAAGTAACAATTATACAGTATTTTCTAACCGAATACTCAATGTCTAAATGTGCAATTCACATTATCATTGTGAATCTCGCGCTGCTTTTTATAGTTATTGCCGATCTCGCGCAACAATTTACTACTCTAATCATTACTCCACTACTTCAGTACTTTTTATTAATCAATGCATTGTATAATTTTTAATTAATGCTAATTTATAAGTTTTATACTATTTAAATGTATCTTATTTACAGTATAAGATATACAAATTGTATATTTTCAGCTCCGATCGCATTGATTATAATGTATTCAATAAAACCGTATAGAAATGTAAATATAACGGAACAACAGACCAAACCCAACGAAACTACTAATAAGAGTGAAACGGGAAGTCATATCAAACTATTCGACCGCAAGGATTGTCCCCGACGTTTGGCAATCATCCTATTCTCGACACTCCTGTCCGCCTATACACTCATAGAGTTCACTTTATTTGATTTCGGGGCCACTTTTCTACAGTACACTCAACTCAGACTGTCGGCCAAAACAGCGGCCGAAATCATGTCCTCCGTATCCCTGGCCTTCACAATAGGCCGGGCGGTCAGTGTGTTCATAGCCATCAAACTCAAACCCCAGCACATGATTGTCACACACTTTGCTATAATCTACCTGTCATTAACTATTCTGAGTCTATGGGGTGAGCACAGCCTACCCGTCATGTGGACGGCCTGCGTTTGCCTGGGCCTCGGTTTGTCTGCCCTTTTCCCTGCGATGTTCGCCTATTTTCAACAGTATATCCGCATCACGAACCCAATGGGCACTTGTGTGGCACTAATGGCAGGTCTTTTCAATCTATGCAACCCTTATATCGTAGGCTTAATCATAGAAAAGTATTCATTTATAGTCATTGTGTTTGAATTTCTGTATTTAACTCTCTGTACGTCTCTATTCATATGTATTTCACTTATTGTTATGAAATATACTAAACATACAAAAAACTTAATATATTGATAATAAAAATAGAGATTAAAAATAACTTTTTAATTTAATTGTTTAATAAATTGTTTTTTGGATTATTACCAAAGAATTTATCCCAGGTATCTATTTATTTAATGATAATTTAATTCAATAGATAATTTTAACAAAAGTGCCTTTATCAGTGGTTAAATATGTTTGAAACCTAACCTAAATTATGGGTTTTTATAATTTATATAATGTATACATTGTGTTTACAGTTTACTGTTAACACCGACAATATTAATACTACGGGTTCAGACAACCAATGGGAGAGTGAGTTGAATATATCGTAACCTTTTAGTGTACATTAGGTGTGTATTATCGTGAAGCCCGACAGTATTAATACACACTGTAGTATTGTATATAATTAGAACTTGATAATCTTTGAGCTTGATAATGACTTGCGAGCGCAAATTATAATGAAATCTCAAATCTAAATCACAATTAAGTGATCATACGATGAGTTTGCGGCCGTTCAGTGGCAACCCCTGCCGTCCTAAACGGATAGCAAGGCTTAGAAGCTAATGCTTTCCAGTGATTGTCGACCAAATGATGCAACACATGTGCAAGTGTTTGGTGACCACCAGTACTGCTCCTCCATTGAGGCGACACTCAATCTGGGGTTCAACTCTGATCTCACTTTAGTATGTTACATAATACTACCCTAGTACCTATTAGGTACAGTAGTATAGTACTACAGTATTGAATACTTATTAATATACAAAAATTCAAACATGTATCAAGTTCAAACAGGAGCAATTGTAATTGATTGTTAATGTACCTGGTTAACCTGACTTAAAAAATAATCCACAATAATCATTACTTTTATTATTTATTTTGTACATTTCAAAAATAAGTATTTAAAATAAAACGAATTAAATGTGAATTAAATCTTAAATTTACAAATGATATGCAATAATATTGTGCCAGAGATGTACCCAACAGGCTGTTATAATAAATCTAATGAAATTTAACCAAATCTAATGAAGTTCATAGTTATAAAAATCGTATACAATTTTAATGAATTATAAAAAGTATAGAAAATATGAAAATTTTCAGGTAGAAAGAAAACTTTCAAAAGTCCGAGTCATTAGAGTGGGTGACGTCTATGTTGTGGTAATCTCTACGTTATCTGAGTTTGATTTCAAGGTTTGAATGCAACACTAAATAACTTTATTTTTGAAAACAATTAACTTATGCGCACTCACTATAAAATATTGTGTATATTATACTTTAGATAATATTATTTTGAAAAACAAAGAAATTATATATTTGAGAGCAATTTATATGAATATTGTATTCAGTATTGATAGTGTTTTATATATAATTGATCTCAAATTGAATATACATATCGTTGTTCGGGATGGGAGGTGAGTGTTGTAAAGTGGTTTTGGCCGTAATATTCCCGCCGTTCGGCGTATGCGCTGAGACGGGCTGTGGCTGTGATCTACTCATTAATATACTGCTCACATGTCTGGGTTGGCTGCCCGGTGTCATCCATGCCATGTACATCATATTCGGCAGAGAGAACCGGGATCATCACCACTACCATGGCACACACGCTTAGACTTCACAACACCGCCCCTATTATGTGTGCAACTTGGTCATTTGCCAATAATTATGATTTAATTATATAAATTTATCACTAGTAAAAATAAATAATTATTTTGGTAATATATTTATTAATATAAATTATTTCTTAAGCCAAACCTTTTCATTGCATTGATATTTAACTAAGTAGTGATCATTCGTATTTAAATGAACATCTACAGTATAAGTTATATGTAGATATTTATATGACCGGGATATTTATTTGGTTTATTGAATTCAATGAAATTTTTTGTTAATTTTAAAATTATTGTTTACTACAGTATATTAATATTGTGCAAATGTTTCAATAAAACTTATATAAGACAAATAATGAATGGATTATATTAACTTTGGATAATTTTATTTAAATTATTTAAAATCAGTACAATCTGTAAAAACAAAATGTTCCCAGAGATTAATAATTATTTTAATATACTGTATGTTAAATTTTTTAGTGTTATACTTTGTATTTAAATAAATTAAACAACAATTTAAAATGATAAGTTATTTTTAATGTTAAATGCGTAATTATAGATCAAATATTCAATTCAGTATCAAATTTTAAAAATATAATGTATTTTTCAGTTAAATCGTATAAATTATCTATAATATTAAAAATGTTATTAATTCTAGTTTTGATAATTTTGTGGAGGGTCTACTGTATTAAGGGTGTATTAAGGAAAATAATATACCCATTGAAGTGACTGTCCTTAATATAATACAGTATAAGTTAATAATTTGTTTATCAAACATTTAACTGACAATACACTAATACTGTATATTATTTTACAATTGATTGATATATTAATTAAGTGTTCGTATTATAGTGACTATCATATACTATATTATGTTATATTCTAATTACATAATGTATGTAATGTTTACTAATAAATGCAATTTAAATACTGGAATTAAAGAATTAACTTTTAAATGAGAGTTGAAGGACAAACATATTTAGTTACACACGGAATACGGAATAGTCCCTTAACTATAAGAGTCCTGTCCTCCAACATTAATTGAATTATTTGTTTAAAATACACTTACTGTACATTGTACAATGATCATTTTAACAATAGATCAAATATTCAATTCAGTATCAAATTTTAAAAATATAATGTATTTTTCAGTTAAATCGTATAAATTATCTATAATATTAAAAATGTTATTAATTCTAGTTTTGATAATTTTGTGGAGGGTCTACCGTATTAAGGGTGTATTAAGGAAAAAATATACCCATTGAAGTGACTGTCCTTAATATAATACAGTATAAGTTAATAATTTGTTTATCAAACATGTTAACATTTAACTGACAATACACTAATACTGTATATTATTTTATAATTGATTGATATATTAATTAAGTGTTCGTATTATAGTGACTATCATATACTATATTCTGTTATATTCTAATTACATAATGTATGTAATGTTTACTAATAAATGCAATTTAAATACTGGAATTAAAGAATTAACTTTTAAATGAGAGTTGAAGGATAAACATATTTAGTTACACACGGAATACGGAATAGTCCCTTAACTATAAGAGTCCTGTCCTCCAACATTAATTGAATTATTTGTTTAAAATACACTTACTGTACATTGTACAATGATCATTTTAACAATTATCATATCATTTTTCTCAACCAAAAACTACAATAAAATGCTATAATTTTAAATTCAATTTCACATTCATATAAGGAATAATTGTTGTGAGATATTTGAAATAATTGTGACAATATTTAAAAACTTACTATTAAAGTAAATACAGTACTGTAATTTGAATAATTGTATAAATGAACAAATGTTAGCAAGTATAATTTATATATATGAATAATGCATTTGCTGACTGTGAATATAAAGAATATAATGATCATAACGGTGTGTCTTTATACTGTGAGTATGGGTCAGCCGTGGACGGGTCACTGGGGTAGGGGTGAGTCTGGCGGGAACTCCCACTCCAGGTTGCAAATTGTGGCCAACTTTTTGACTGGAGTTAAGTCGACGAAAGGGTCGACCGCTTGCGGGCGTAACATAAGTGTTGATATCGACGAGTGCGTCAAAGATGTCTGGTATGACTGGACCAATGAGGGCGATGTGGCCTATGATGGGGACACCGATCATGTTAACGGTGACACAGATGAGTCCATTGGCAGACAGCATCGGGACTTATGCTGCGCCATATGGACGTCCATAGAGTGCATATCCCGGAAGATGGGTCAGTGCTGTGTCACTGATCGCCATATTATGCAACAGATTATTGACGGCATTCAACGCAACGCCGAACAGTATTACTGCGCCGATCAGTATTCGCGGGGCGCCGCCAACTGTCGGTACCCCCTGTGGGCCCTCATATCCGGCATTGTGTTGAGCTCTGTATTACTTGTAAGCGTACTGTCAGTTGTGGCCACTTATTTGTACCGCAAACGTAAACCATTGCAAACCAAATGTTAATTTAATCAAGCCAACTCTACCCTATGTCCCTAGTCTATCATATGTGCCAATATATTATCACACAATTCATTCACTATGACCCTTATCATTCAAACTTTTAAATTTAATAATAATTATTAGAAATTAGTTATTGAGATCATTTAAATTTTCACGTCTATTATTAAAATTAGTTTTTAAACTTAAACTTTAAACTTTATATATTTATGTAATTATACCGTTTGTGTCATGTGTTTATGTCCTAGTTTTATGGTGCTGTATCAATTCATTGTATAATATTATAAATAACATAGATGCTTTTAATAAAATATAAAGTTTTAATTAATTGAAAGGGAGTTTTACTACACCAAAGGGTTTACTAATANGCATTCAAACATATATAACACGTCGGCGCCGACCCATCGCTGCCCACATCACTGTCTACACCATTTGGCTCATCACTGGCGGCCGACGCCGACACAGTGGTGCCCAACACGTCCTCCTCATCGTCAGTCTCATCGGAATCGGTGTCATCCGATTCCTCGTCCTCCTCTCCCTCCTCGTCATCCGACGGGTCGTCCCCTTCGGCTCCGGACTCCTTGTCCTCTTCCTCGTCGTCGTCCTCCTCTGTATCCGAGCCGTCGTCTGGCTCTTCGTCGTCATCCAAGTGTTGAGTGCGACTGCTGTTCAGTTGATCCACGTGTTGGTCATCACGTGATTCGTCGCACATATCGACCGCTAAATGAGTGCTAATTAAGTGGTCACTCAATACAAGGATCACTCGTTCAGTCTTAAGACAAACCAAATGACAGATTCATTAATAGTTATCAACACATATGAGGGTTGAATACACACTTGAGGTGTCGCACCCCCAATGGGTCCCCAATCTATCAAACAATAAGCGATTGCTTGTTAACCACCAAATCAATGGCTAATTGTGTTTAGAAATGATTGCAATTATTGTCATATATTTGACGTCAAAACCATTGAGAAGTTGGCAGTCAATGAGTGAATGACTGAATGACTGAATGAGTGTATGGTTTGAGTGAGTGATTGGTTCAGTGTTTGCTAATGTGATGACAACCATAACAATGAACACATAATTCATATAATATTCACAACTCTTATATCAAATCAAATGAAATGATATATAAATTGATTGCAATTTATTGATGAATAAAATGAATACACATTTCACTGACTTTTCAATACAATATTAGTATTTATTATTACGTTCAGCCTTTCATTGAGTCTATTGTCAGTCTATTCATAAATGACGACAATTGACGAAATAACGTCAATGCCGACTGTAATCATACAGTACATACAGTACATACAGTACATACAGTACATACAGTACATACAGTATTATATTAGTAAACCCTTTGGTGTAGTAAAACTCCCTTTCAATTAATTAAAACTTTATATTTTATTAAAAGCATCTATGTTATTTATAATATTATACAATGAATTGATACAGCACCATAAAACTAGGACA